TATAAAACTTTTCACATTTAGAATGGAGTGCTCTTTTAAAATGGACAGTCTAGAGCAGGGCTTAAAATTTAAAGTCCTGAGCTACTAGCCAGGCCTTAAGAGTTACTCGCCACCAAACAAACACACACGCACACAGAAACATGTACACACACACAGAGACACCTGTACACACACACACAAACATGTACATACACACACGCACAGAGACACATGTATGCACACACAGGCACGTACAGACACGCATACACACAGATACAGTACGTGTACATACACAGAAATATACACACACAGACACATGTACATACATACACAGACACACACATGTACATGCACACAGACACATGCACACACACACAGACACATTTTACATGCATACACAGACACACACATGTACACGTACACACACACACACACATAAAAAGTTGCAGTACTACGTTGTTCACTCACAGAGCCGGGTACTGCACTCTAGGGGGAGGCAGAGAGCACAGCACACACTCCTTGCTTTGCTGTCACTGCGCTCAGCTATTGAGCAGTCTGGCGGCTTCCAGTGCCAATGACAGATCCGGCCTGAGCTCCGAGCCTGCTCAGCAAGACGGCCCTGGGGGACACACTCGTCCCCACCATAATTTCCACTCGCCATTGGCGAGCAGGCGAGTGGAAATTTCAAGCCTGCCCTAGAGGCACCCTATTTTAGAATAGGGTGCCTCAAGACTGTCCATAATTTTAAAGGGTGCCTCGGGATTGTCCATCATTTTTAAGAGTGCCTTGATGGAAAAAAGGTTGAGAAACGCTGGTCTAAACAGACCTCTGGTGTTTCACCTTTGAGACAAAGCCCACAATTTCCATCTCTGCAGCCTCAGCTGCACTAAATGAATGGATAGTAATAGATCTGTACAGAGCTTCCCCTTCATTCATAAACTGAAGCATAGTAAACATGACGTATTCACCGTCCCTTTCCTGCTCTCCATCGTGACGAGTCCCCCACAAAAACCAACAGGAGAGGAAAAAAGGGAAGCTGGCAGAGCTGCAGGAGACTGGGGGGGGGGGGGGCAGTTAAACACACAGGGGCCGAGGGGCAGCAGGACCTGGACAGGAGGGTGGTGGGAGCGGTATATAGAAAATGATCCCCTCCATTTTTCCTCCTGCAGTTGCTGAATATCTCCAGGAGGGAGAAGACAAGAAGTGGGCTTTCAGCAGCTGCAGGAGGGAAATGGAGGGGAACGATTCCTCTTTATGCCGCCCCCACCACCCCAGGTCACAACTGTGACCTCTATGATTATGCCCCTGGTCTGCCCACTACAGTCTGTCCCTCTTTTTCCTCCTCTTTGGAGATTTCCTTATACTTTAAAGCAGAAGTATGGGATTAAAAAAAAAAAAAAAAATCCATACTCACCTACATAATGCAGCATCTATGCGATTGATCACATGACCACTGATCGCTGGGTTTGCTATGAGCGGAGATCAGTGACAGTCAGTCAGCACTCACGCTCTGCTCCTCCAGTACTCGTTTGAGAGCTAGGCAGGAGTGGCTGGCTACAGCTCTCAGCTGTGTGCTATGAGGAGGAGCCAGCTGTCAATCAGGCAATGGGGTGGATCCCGACAATATTGTCTGGATACTTCTCGAGCCTGGAGCAACTCTGCTTCGTCAGCTGATAGCGGACTATCTTTAAAGTACAACCACTGAGCAGCACTACAAAGTAGGACGCAGGAGAATGTTTATGTAATGAGCAAATATGGTTTCCCCTTAACACCATGCCCATCCTTTAACACGTAACAAAGCAATGAACACTTTATTTTCTCTCTTCTATAACATCAGTCAGCCTACCTGTGTTGCTGATGCAGTTTAGCGATCTCCTTCTCAAAGTCCAGAGGTTGGTTAGGGATAAAAGAGAAATCGGCAAGGTACCCAGGGAGGTGCTCCGAATGCAGGTAATCTCCCAGCTCAGCTTAAAGACCGAAAAAAAGTAAATTTTTAGCAAACTACAGATTAATATTTCGCAAATTATTTCATCTAGAACAATTTAATAGTTATTCATTAAAAGGCACAGTGCTTCTTTAAAAAACAAAATAAATGCACCCACGATGAATTAACCACTTCCCGACCGGCCGTTGCATATAAACGGCCGGACGGTGGTACTGCAGGGTCGGGTGGCCGTTTATGAATGGCCTCCCCGCACCCTGCTTGTGCGCGCTCCCTGGGAGCGCACTGCACCGCGATCCAGTGCCTGCTGTGTCCTCCGGACACAATGAAACACCGATCGTCGGACGGGACCTCTGTACGAGGTCCCGCTCATGTGATCACTGATTGGCCAATCAGTGATCACATGCAAAGTAGTAAGCGAGGTGTCACTTCTGACATCATTGCTTACTACGTGTGAAATCTGTGAATGATCACAGAGGTCACATGGTACAGGGCTATTCACAACAGCCTTGTACCTTGTGACAAGCTGTGACCAATCACAGCTCACTCAGTACTTCTCAATGAGTGCAAGAATGCAGACAGAGAGAAAGAGAAATGATTGATTTTACATCCTTTATGGGTGTAAAAGCAATTAGTGTAAAAAAAAAAAAAAAAAAAATCTTCATCACCCCCCACAAGTAGTACAGTGTCACCATGGTTACACTGTACTGCTAGGGTGACCGTATGTAAAAAAAAAAAAAAAAATAAAAAATAAAAAATATAAAAAAATAAAATAAAAATGTAAAAAAAAAATGTTTGAAAATTATAATTTTTGGTTATAAACTAACTTGGATTTTTTTTTTTTTTTACTAAAAAGATAACGGAATAAATTTTGGCCAAGATTTATGATGAAATATTATTTATTTGCTAAATTTTATAAAAAAAAACCTTTTTTTCAAAATTATTGGACTTTTTCATTTACATAGCAAAAAAAATAAAAATCCCAGCGGTGAATAAATACCACCAAAATAAAGCTTTATCTGTCTCAATAAATTGTCATTTGTCTTTATCTGTCTCATAAATTGCACAATTGTCATTCAAAGTGTGATAGCGCTGAAAGCTGAAAATTGCCCTGGTCAGGAAGGGGGTAAAAAGTGTCCGGACTGGAAGGGGGGGAAAGTGTCCGGACTGGAAGGGGGGGAAAGTGTCTGGACTGGAAGGGGGGAAAGTGTCTGGACTGGAAGGGGGGGAAGTGTCCGGTCTGGAAGTGGTTAATAATGTGCTTTTATATTTTTGTTTCCACTGGGCCTGCAGAGAATTGCAACTGCAATCAATGCTTTGTGGGTGTAATGTACTGGATCCTGCATTATTCATCCCAAGCCCCAGTTCTGTGTGGAGGTACAGACTTCGGTGCAGGGCTGGAACAAGGGGTGGCTGATCTGGGCTCTGTGGTATCATGTGAGGTGGGGGGGAGGTGCACCACGAGGAAATGAAGGGAGGAGGGGATTTGTGTTCGGAGTAATTTTTGGGGGTAGCACGGGGTAAGATTGTATGGTACTTTTGTGCCATGTGATCTGGTGTGGGCAAATGCACTGCATTTGCAGCCCGCGCTTGGGGTGTCATCACCCTGAGGTCATCAGAGGACAAGAGGGCACTCTTTACATCTGGAGGAAAAGAAATTTAATTTCCAAACACAGAAAGGTTTCTTCACAGTAAGAGCTGTGAGAATGTGGAATAGACTCCCTCAAGAGTTGGTTGTGGCCAGCTCAGTGGATTGCTGTAGGAAAGTCCTGGATTCTTTCTTGGATACACAGAATATAACTGGATATAACATTTATAGGGAAAGTTGATCCAGGGAATATCCAATTGCCTCTCGGGGGATCAGGAAGGAATTTTTTTCCCAGCAGCAGCAAGTTAGATCGTGCTTTGCTGGGTTTTTTTTTTGCCTTCCTCTGGATCAACTGGGGTGTAGGATTATAACTTTTTTTTTTTCTATGGTTGAACTGGATGGACTTTTGTCTTTTTTCAGCCAGACTAACTATGTATGTAACATTGCACTGACACCCACTGCAGATCGCAAGGGCAGTGAATGTGGTGCGGGAAACCACATTCTAGTGTGCACTAGCCCAGGGGTGGGTAACTGTTTCCCTCCAGCTGTTGGTGAACTACAAGTCTCATCATGCCTCTGCCTTTGGGAGTCATGCTTGTAACTGTCTGTTTTGCAATGCCTCATGGGACTTGTAGTTCTACAACAGCTGGAGGGCCACAGTTGCCCACCCCTGCACTAGCCCTTATAATGAATGCCCATTTGGGTTTCAAGGAAAATCATGGCTCTTTGCACATGTGTGAAATCACATTACATCATCTGGTATTGAAGCTTACATTGAACAGCGTATGAAGCCAGCAGGGCGGCAGGCCAGTACTGTAAGGGCAGGGCAACCTGAAAGATAAAAAAAAAAGGAGAGACAGTGAGAGAAAAGCCGAAGACACCCCCATAAACCTGCTGGATGGAAAGAAGGGGAACATTTGTGCAGAACCTCATTTCACAAAGTGGGGGAAGCTGAAAGCAATCGCTGTCACTTTCCATGGGATCCTTTGCAGCTGCCAAATAGTATGGGGCTATCTGCATGGAACTGATTGGCTGTCTGCAAGAACAAATGTTCTGTGTAAAAGGATTCACTCAACAAAGAATAATAAATGTAAAAAAAAAGGTACATAAACTTTAATTTCGGCCTTCTCTCAGTCTTGCACAGGTGTACCCGGCTCCTCCCCTTCAGTCTTGCACAGGTGTACCGGCTCCTCCCCTTCAGTCTTGCACAGTGTACCGGCTCCTCCCCTTCAGTCAGCACAGTTGTACCGGCTCCTCCCCTTCAGTCTTGCACAGTTGTACCGGCTCCTCCCCTTCAGTCTTGCACATGTGTACCGGCTCCTCCCCTTCAGTCTTGCACAGGTGTACCGGCTCCTCCCCTTCAGTCTTGCACAGGTGTAACCGGCTCCTCCCCTTCAGTCTTGCACAGTTGTACCGGCTCCTCCCCTTCAGTCTTGCACAGGTGTACCGGCTCCTCCCCTTTCAGTCTTGCACCCGGTTCCTCCCCTTCAGTCTTGCACAGGTGTACCGGCTCCTCCCCTTCAGTCTTGCACAGGTGTACCGGCTCCTCCCCTTCCAGTCTTGCACAGGTGTACCGGCTCCTCTCCTTCAGTCTTGCACAGGTGTACGCGCCCCCCTCCCCTTCAGCCTTGCACAGGTGTACCGGCTCCTCCCCTTCAGTCTTGCACAGGTGTACCGGCTCCTCCCCTTCAGTCTTGCACAGGTGTACCGGCTCCTCCCCTTCAGTCTTGCACAGGTGTACCGCTCCTCCCCTTCAGTCTTGCACAGGTGTACCGGCTCCTCTCCTTCAGTCTTGCACAGGTGTACCGGCTCCTCTCCTTCAGTCTTGCACAGGTGTACCGCCCCTCCCCTTCAGCCTTGCACAGGTGTACCGGCTCCTCCCCTTCAGTCTTTGCACAGGTGTACCGCCTCCTCCCCTTCAGTCTTGCACAGGTGTACCGGCTCCTCCCCTTCAGTCTTGCACAGGTGTACCGGCTCCTCCCCTTCATCTTGCACAGGTGTACCGGCTCCTCCCCTTCAGTCTTGCACAGGTGTACCGGCTCCTCCCCTTCAGTCTTGCGCAGGTACCGGCTCCTCCCCTTCAGTCTTGCGCAGGTATACCGGCTCCTCCCCTTCAGTCTTGCACAGTTGTACCGGCTCCTCCCCCTTCAGTCTTGCACAGTTGTACCGGCTCCTCCCCTTCAGTCTTGCAAGTTGTACCGGCTCCTCCCCTTCAGTCTTGCACAGGTGTACCGCTCCTCCCCTTCAGTCTTGCACAGGTGTACCGGCTCCTCTCCTGGACTGCAATGGCTTGCTCTGATTTCACTGCACACTGTGAGCTTTTTACAATGTGAATTAGAAGCTGCAGCAAGTCAGACAGAGCCTGTTTTCCTCCCCATCTGGCTGTCCTGGTCTGCCACTTTCAATCTCTGGATTTCAGGTCTTCCAATTGTAGAGGCTCAGAATCATATGTGGGCATTACCTACGGTGGTCTGCAAGCAAATACACGCTGCCTAGGAAATCCCACCCCTCCAGACTGACATTCAGTTAGCTTGACCCAAAACAAACAATTTAAAGTGATCATAAAGCTGGACTTCAGCTTTAAAGTGTTACTAAACCCACAACAGTACAATCAGTCTGTATATTATGCCATAAAGCATCCTCCACATTGTGTAAAAAGTCTGTTTGATCCTGCCTTGTCTGATCCTCCCCCTTCTTCTGCTGTCTGAATGCAGGGTCCGGGGAGAGCTGATATAGTGAATGCAGGGTCTGGGGAGAGCTGATATAGTGAATGCAGGGTCCTTGGAGAGCAGATATAGTGAATGCAGGGTCTGGGGAAAGCGGATATAGTGAAATGCGGGGTCCTGGGAGAGCAGATATAGTGAATGCAGGGTCCGGGGAGAGCGGATATAGTGAATGCAGGGTCCGGGGAGAGCGGATATAATGAATGCAGGGTCCGGGAGAGCGGATATAGTGAATGCAGGGTCCGGGGAGAGCGGATAATAGTGAATGCCAGGTCTGGGGAAAGCGGATATAGTGAATGCAGGGTCGGGGGAGACCGGATATAATGAATGCAGGGTCCAGGGAGACCGGATATAGTGAATGCAGGGTCCAGGGAGACCGGATATAGTGAATGCAGGTCCAGGGAGACCGGATATAGTGCATCTAGAGTCCGGGGAGAGAGGATATAGTGAATGTAGAGTCCGGGAGAGAGGATATATGAATGCAGGGTCCGGGAGAGTGGATTTATCAGTGAATGCGGGTACGGGAGAGCAGATATAGTGAATGCAGGGTCCGAGGAGACCGATATAGTGAATGCGGGGTACGGGGAGAGCGATATAGTGAATGCAGGGTCCGGGGAGAGCGAATATAGTGAATGCAGGGTCCGGGAGAGCGGATATAGTGAATGCAGGGTTCGGGGAGAGCGGATATAGTGAATGCAGGTCCGGGGAGAGCGGATATAGTGAATGCAGGGTCCGGGGAGACCAGATATAGTGAATGCAGGGATCCGGGGAGAGCGGATATAGTGAATGCAGGGTCCGGGGAGAGCGGATATAGTGAATGCAGGGTCCGGGGAGAGCGGAATAGTGAATGCAGGGCCCGGGGAGACCATATATAGTGAATGCAGGGTCCGGGAGAGCGGATATAGTGAATGCAGGGTCCGGGGAGAGCGGATATAGTGAATGCAAGGCCCGGGGAGACGGATATAGTGAATGCAGGGTCCAGGGAAGACCGGATATAGTGAATGCAGGGTCGGGGGGGGGGGGGGAACGGATATAGTGAATGCAGGGTCCCGGGAAGACGGATATAGTGAATGCATGGTCCCGGGGGGGGGGGGAACGGATATAGTGAATGCAGGGGTCCGGGGAAAGCGGATATAGTGAAAATGTGGGGTCCGGGGAGAGCGATATAGTGAATGCGGGGTCCCGAGGAAGAGCGGATATAGTGAAATGCTGCGGGGTCCGGGGAGACTGGATATAGTGAATGCAGGGTCTGGGGAGAGCGGATATAGTGAATGCGGGGTCCGGGGAGAGCGGATATAGTGAATGCAGGGTCCAGGGAGAAGCGGATAAAGTGAATGCAGGGTCCGGGGAGATCAGATATAGTGAATGCAGGGTCCGGGGAGAATGGATATAGTGAATGCGGGGTCTGGGGAGAGCGATAATAGTGAATGCAGGGTCCGGGGAGAGAAGCGGATATAGTGAATGCAGGGTCCGGGGAGAGCGGATATAGTGAAATGCAGGGTCCGGGGAGACCGGATATAGTGAATGCAGGGTCCGGGGAGACCGGATATAGTGAATGCAGGGTCCGGGGAGACCGGATATAGTGAATGCAGGGTCCGGGGAGAAGCGGATATAGTGAATGCAGAGTCCGGGGAGAGCGGATATAGTGAATGCGGGTCCGGGGAGACCGGATATAGTGAATGCAGGGTCGGGGGGGGAACGGATATTATATATAGTGAATGCAGGATCCGGGAAGACCAGGATATAGTGAATGCAAAGGTCCGGAGGAGACCGGGGGGGGGGGGGGGGGTGGAAACGGATATAGTGAATGCAGGGTCCCGGGGAAAGCGGATATTAGTGAATGCGGGGTCCGGGGAGCGGGATATAGTGAATGCAGGGTCCGGGAGAGCGGATATAGTGAATGCAGGGTCCGGGGAGACTTTGAAGCGATATCTAGTGAATGCAGGGTCTGGGAGAGCGGATATTAGTGAATGCGGGGTCCGGGTAGAGCGGATATAGTGAATGCAGGGTCCAGGGAGACTGGATATAGTGAATGCGGGGTCTGGGGAGAGCGGATATAGTGAATGCGGGGTCTGGGGAGAGCGGATATAGTGAATGCCGGGGGTCCGGGGAGAGCGATATAGTGAATGCAGAGTCCAGGTGAACTGGATATAGTGAATGCGGGGTCTGGGAGAGAGCGGATATATAGTGAATGCAGGGTCCCAGGGAGACTGGATAAGTGAATGCGGGGTCTGGGGAGAGCGGAATATAGTGAATGCAGGGTCCAGGGAGACTGAATAAAGTGAATGCGGGGTCTGGGGAGAGAGCGGATATAGTGAATGCAGGGTCCGGGGAGAGCGGATATAGTGAATGCAGGGTCCGGGGAGAGGCGAGATATAAGTGAATGCAGGATCCGGGGAGAGCGGATATAGTGATGCAGGGTCCGGGGAGAGCGGATATGTGAATGCAGGGTCCGGGGAGACCGATATAGTGAATGCAGGGTCCGGGGAGACCGGATATAAGTGAATGCAGGGTCCGGGGAGACCGGATATAGTGAATGCAGGATCCGGGGAGGGACCGGATATAGTGAATGCAGATCCGGGGAGACTGGTATATAGTGAATGCGGGGTCCGTGGAGACCGGAAATATGGAATACGGGGTCCGGGGAGACCGGATAGACAGAATGCAGGGTCCCGGGTTTAGTAACACTTTCAAGCGTTTCGATATTTGCATACCTCCTCCCAAGAGCCTGCCTACAACATGCATCCACCACTTTTTGAAGACTTTGAACATAAAATTATTTTGATTACCCACATAAAAGTTCTTCCATTATAAATGTGTGGTGGTTTAATTAGTTCTCATAAAGGTAAGGCTGGAGTAATTAATTCATCAACATTTTATAAAATATTTAAATTTGACTTACCTCCAGTGAGAACGTCCTGTTTAATCTGCAGAAAATAAAGGTACCTAAAAAAGAAGAGAGACATGATGAGCACAAATAGAACAACAGATCTAATGGCACAGGATCAACATTATATTAAAGGGGAACTCAGAAAAATGTACACTGCCTAAGATGACTGATCAGTTAAAGTGATTGTAAAGACTAAAGGTGTTTTACCTCCATGCATTCTATTGCCCATGACGGAAAGAAACCTTCAGCGTGCCGCAGCTCCCCCCCCTCAGCCCCTCCTAATACTCACCGGGCGGCCTGACTGTGATGCAATGATATGCTACTGTAGCAGCGGCACCCGGGTCTCTCCCTCCTCAATGGCTGAGACACAGCAGGAGCCAATTGGCTGTGAGGAGTGAATGGGGGGGTTCTTGGGCAACCTTTCGCTAACACGCTCTGTATGTCTTATGAACACACAGAGCAGGGCAACCTCGGGAAACATCCCGCTCAAGTGCCCCCACAGCAAGCAGCTTGCTATGGGGGCACTCAGAAATAGGGAGCAGCCAGGGGCACCACGCGGGGGGACCCGTGAAGAGAAAGATTGGTAGGGTCAAAATCATTACCTACCAGACCCCACTGTGTGCACTTTTAAATATTTCCAAATCCCCAATTAAACTTCTCTTCCTACAAATCACAAACAGATCAGTGGTCAAATCGTGGAAGTCGCCATCTCTGTGTATATTAGCAGCTCGAAACAAGGCCTGGATCACACAAGCAATGATCCCACGCCAAAATTGAGGCTACCATTTTAGATTCGGTCCCTAAGTTTCTGTCAACCTGGACCCCCTTGGGTGGAACTCTTCCTGCCACGTCTCCCACAAAACTCGCTGCTCCTTCCGCGATGTCCTCTAATCCTGCATCATGATAGTCCTAAGAGCCACGTCGTCTTTGCTTAGTCCCTGGTCCCGAGAATTTTCTATTCTCTTCTGGAAGTCGCATGCCCTTTCCCCTCTCTTTCCATCATTCTCCTCTCCAAATCCTCTTCTTCTCCCCCCTCCTTTTTTTATTTTTCTTTTATCTGCTCACTTTTGTCTCCCTCCTCATGCCTCATATGGAACCCTTAAACCAGTGGTTCTCAACCTGTGGGTCGCAACCCCTCTTTGGGGGGTTTTGCATTGTCCTGGTCCCGAGATTTTCTATTCTCTTCTGGAAGTCGCATGCCCTTTCCCTCTCTCACCATCAGTCTCTTCCCGAAATCCTCCCCCCCCCCTCTTTTTTTATTTATTTTTCTTCTTTCTGCTCACATTTTGTCTCCCTCCTCATGCCTCATATGGAACCCTTAAACCAGTGGTTCTTCAACCCCTGTGGGTCGCAACCCCCCCCCCCCTTTGGGGGTTGAACGACCCTTTCCCAGGGGTCCCCTAAGACCATCAGAAAACACATATTTCCGATGTGTAAAGAGCACTACTGTGTAGAAAGGAGCTGCTGTGTTGAAAGCAGCTACTCAGTTAAAAGCAGCTACTGTGTTGAAAGCAGCTACTGTGTTAAAAGCAGCTACTGTGTTGAAAGCAGCTGCTGTGTTGAAAGCAGCTACTCTGTTAAAAGCAGCTGCTGTGTTTGAAAGCAGCTACTGTGTTGAAAGCAGCAGTATTGGAGGTAAAACAACACTCATGAATTATAATTACTGGGTAAATAATTTTATGGTTGGGGGTCACCACAACATGAGGAACTGTATTAAAGGGTCGCGGCATTAGGAAGGTTGAGAACCACTGCCTTAAATGGTCATTGGGAACAGTGTTCCTTTTCAGTTGCTCATTAACCACTTGACCTCCAGAGGACTTACCTTAATGACCACGCCTCTTTTTGCTACTCGGCGCTGCACTAATTCAACTGATAATTGCGCGGTCATGCAATGCTGCACCCAAACTAAATTTACGTCCTTTT